CCTACACTTTTCTTGAAAGATCACCAATAAAGGTGACAAAATATGCAGTGCACCCTATAGAAAACAAGTGACTCTCATGTCTCTTAATAAATAAATTCCAAAAATCCTTATTTTTAGAGGTGGGTAAAGAAAAATGCAATTTATTATGCTTTTCGAATAGGCATGACTCACAAAAATCGAAATTAAAGATTTTAAACCAGGAAAGAGGTTTTATCGAGAAATAACTGAGTTCAGGCTCGCTCATCTAACCCAAACATGCATGCCTCATGTCATGAGGGAGTCCACCTTGTAATATTGGCCTCTTCCAAAATTGTTTATTCAACAAGTCCGTACAAATTACTTGCTAACTCCCCTTTTGCAACCACTAGTTCTCCCTTTGAAACTTTCAAACATCTACTTTGATATATAAACTTGAAACCTTGCTCATCAAATTTTTCCAAAGATAAAAGACTCCTTTTTAGACCTAGAAGATATCTGACACTTGAGATTGTGCATGTTACTCCATTGAACATCTTGATTCTCACATCTCCAACTTCCACTATTTTACATAAGTCAGTATTTTCCATAAAAACAATACCTTCATAATATGTAGAATCAATCTCTATGTGGAATCATGTGAATGGATGCACCTGAATCAAGTAGCCAATACGGCAAAAATTCCTCCCTATCCATAGAAAAAACTTCATCATCTTCAAAAAACTCAATTTCTTCAACTAGATTTCCTTACGATCTACATGAACTAAGCTAGAACGAAATTTATGGACTTCCCAGTTGCCTTATTGTGTCGTACAATCTTTCTTAATGTAATCTAACTTTCCACAACTCCAACAATTCACTTTCATATTTCCTCTTGATTTGGATTTGGACTGAACTCTTCCTATAGTTCTCTCCATGATCTTCCCACGCTACAAACAACTTCCTAGAGAAATCATGACTGTACTTTCGCCTAGACTCCTCTACCAGAAGTGTTTAACAACATAATCAAATTCAAGGGATTTTGCACTATTGAGACTCATGATCAGTCCATCCCATACAAAGTACTATAGTTGATTTATCTTCTTCATCAAATTTTACATCTAGTGACATCAACTTGTTAATCAAGGCATTAAACTCATTTAAGTACCCTTGCAAATATGCCCCATCAATGATCTTGAGGTTGTAAAATTGTCGATGAAGAAAAATTTTATTATGAAGAGACTTTATCTTCAAAAGTATTTTTCAGCCTATCATATAAATCTATTCCAGTAGTTTTCGAGGAGACATTGAATAAAACAGATTTATCAAGCACCAAGAAAATTGTCCTGGCCAATTCATCAGTCCCATTAAATTCCTCATTATCCATTTTTTGATATTGATTTTTCTACCTTTTAAGACCATTACACATCCATCTTTTACCAACATCATATGCTTCTTTAATTTCCAATTTGAGAAATCGGAATCGTCAAATTTTGAAATTTCATATGTGGTTGAATTTCTTCAAGCAGTATTCAAAGATCTGTGATCTGTCAAAAACCTCGTGCCTAGTAAAGATCTTAAATCCTGAGGTTCTGATACCAATTGTATAGGATAAAAAAATTTAGAGAAAGAAAAATAGTGAAGAAAAATAAAAGATTTAAACACAAAGATTTACATGGTTCAGCAAGTAACCTACATCCACGACGTAGAAAAGTTTTATTCCACTAATTAAAAAAAAAAAACATTCAAGCATGGAGATTATAAGGGATTAGAAGCTCTCTCTCGAGCCCTAAAATATGGTATTTCTCTATCTAGAACACCCACCTAAGGACTAAAAAACTAACCCTTTCTTCTTGCATTAAATTTCTCTCTAAAAAATTAATATTTAAAAAAGACAGATACAAAGCCCATACATGCGATCCACCTTCCTAATCTCTTTATTTTAGGAATGAGATAGTTTATCTTTTTTTTGAGTAAATCAGTGGGGAAGTCAGACCCCTACCCTTTTTTTCAAGTAGATTAGGAGTTAGCTTTTTGAAGGTATTAGTAGGGATGTTGGTACGTATGGGTGGCCATGGGGCCCTCTTACGTGTTTTTTTTTCTCTCTTTAATCTTTATCATATAAATAAGGGTCTTTTTTAGAGAGAGAACAGTCATAATCTAACGGGTGAATGATAACTACCCATTGGTTAGGTGCCTCGATCTCGCCCTCCAAGTTGGGGTTGACCTAGCGGCATGGTTCCAGGTTCGAGATGGACCTAGGATCTGAGATCGCTCTCTCGGGAACCACGTAAAGAAGACGACGACAGGAGTTCCAACCAGTGAGAGAGGAATTAGGGTCGTGAGGCAAGACTTACCTCATGTGGGACACACTCGGGCTGACTCGTATGGGCACCCTCTTAGATCACGTTGGAAAGCCCCCTTAGCTTATGGCCGGTTTGCAATTGCCTCCCTTGACCTGTTTCTCCTTTTTTGCAAAGACACACACATTAAAAGTACAGATGAGTGGGGCATAAGTCTTCACCTTGTTATAGGGCGAGCGCAAATGTGTTTGTACTCAAGGAAGAAAAGGAAAAAACAACACACGAGAATCCGTGTGAATTCGACAGCCTCACGACGTCTTCTTAACAAGGGACTCTCGGTACATATTTTACCGTAAAGAATGAGAGAAGCAAAGAGATGAGAGAAATTAAGATAAGAAAAGAAGTTTGACCGGGTGGCTAGGCTGTCACAGTGGCTAGACCGTCACAGTGGCTAGACCAGTACGGTGACTGACTTGATGTGGTAGCAAGACGGGCACGGTAATTCAGACTGGCACTACGACAATACTACTCGACGACAGAATCAACACCGACCAGCCTGACACAATGGCTAGTCTAACGTAGCAGCAAGATGGGCACGGTAACTCAGACCGGCATGCAACAATATTGCTCAACGACAGAACTGGCACGATGGCTAGTCTGGCACAACAGCTAGTCTAACGTGGCAGCAAGACAGGGCAGGGTAACTCAGATTGGCACGACGGCAATACTGCTCGACGACAAAACTGTCCCGACGTCTAATCCGGCACGGTGAAACTGATCCAGTAATCGACTTAACGTGGTAGCATGATGGGCACAGTAACTAAGACCGGCACAACAGCTTAACTACTTAATGTCAAAATCAACACTGACTAATTTGACACAAAACCCAATCTGTCGTGGCAGCAAGACGGGTACGGTAACTTAGGCCGACATGACGATAATACTGCTTGACGATAAGACTCGCACGTGCATAATGCTCAGCCTGCCCTCTGGTCAAACAAGTGATGCAGAGAAAGAGAGACGAAAGTGGAAATGATAGTGATGATGCAATAAAAGTAATGGGAAATAAAATTGAATTAGAAAAATGAAATTGAGATGAAAAATAAATGAATTAAAATAAAATTGAATTAGAAAAATGGAATTAAATAAATTAAACTAAGGTGAGGTGAAGTGAGATAAATAAAATGAAGAAGAATAACATAAAAGGGATGAAGAAAATAAAATAAGCTGAGATGATTAAATTAAAATAAAATAAATGAATGGAGTGAGAGTAAAGTCTGATAAGATAAAGTGAATAAGGAAAAAAATGAATGGAATGAAATAAAGTGAATGAGTGACATGGAATAAAACAAAAGAAAGGGGTTGAAGAAATAAAATAGGATAGTTTTAAAATAAATAAAAACAAAATGAATTTAAAAGAGAGAGAGTGTTTGATGGAGAAGATGAGTAACAATAATGAAAAGAAAAAGGACGCGTTTAAGAGAATGAGAGATGGAGTCATTTTTTTACTTGGATGAGCGAGAGAGAGTGCCTTGGTTGCGTTATCGGGTATTTAACGAAATATTGTGAGGGGAGTGGAACGAAGTTTACCGAAACAAGACGAAACAACGAAAAGAAAGGTAAGTGGGTGTTTCTTTTATGGGTTCTAGAGAGAGAAAGCGAGAGGTTGCACAAAAAAGTTCGTGGGGAGGCTGATGGGAGGCGCAGAGAGGAGATTTGTGCGAAATAAAGAGGTGAACGAGAGGGGACTGGTGAGCGAGAGATATAGTGAGACACTGGAGGCAATGGTTACAGTAGTATGGTGGAGCGAGGAAGTGAATTGATGCGAGAGTAAATGCAAGTTGAAGAGGATGGAAGAGAGAGCAGTGGTGGATGGGAAGGTGAGGTGGCTGCAAGCAATGGACGGTGACGGTGGAGGATTGGGTGGCTGAACGGCCGAGGGGAAGAGATGGAAGAGTGTGAATTGGGGGCAGCTGTAATTGTGGCAGTGATGGGTTGCAGCTGCGAGAAGTACCTTGGCTGTGAAGGGCGTGACTAGGAATCGCAGCGAATGGGAGAGTGCCCTCGTTTCAGTGAGGTGGAGTATAAGGTGGTGTAGGTAATGTTATGAAGGAGTGGGAGAGATGAAGATGGGAAAAGTGCTAGTGGTGGGTCATGGTTAAAGATAGGGAATTAGCGCGAGAGAGTAGTGACAGAGGTGGTGTAGCAGAGACATGGTTGCTGGGGCTGCTGGCTGCAACAGAGTTGGTCACAGGTACGGAAAGGGTAGCGGCGACGCACGGAGCTGGGTGTTCGAGACGGAGTTGTCTCGCACGGTGATGGGATGGTTGTCGTGCACGGCGATACAAAGAGATCAATCGCACATGGCGTTGGGGATGCTGGGATGCACGCGGCATTGGGGAAGGACAGATCACACGCGGCGTTGGGGAAGATGCGATGCCGGCCGCGTAGAAAGATGGGTTCATGCGGTGTTGGGCTTGATGCCCGCCGCGTAGAAAGATGGGTTCGTGCGGTGTTGGGCTTGCTATACATGGCGCTAAGGTAAAGTTCGCACATGGCGTAGATGTTTGTTGCTCACACGATGATAAGTAAGATGGGTGCACACAACAATAGGTTAGATGGGTGCCCACGGCAATATGTAAAAAAAAGCCTAGGAATGATGATGGACCATGGAACGTGAGAGAGGAAAAAAAGAACCACGAGGGTGCACCAAAAAAATAAAAAATGTGAGGGAAGATAAAAGGGAATATAAAAGGGAAAAAGAAGATAAAAGGGAATATACATGAGGATCACCAAGAAAGGAAAAGGGAAAAAGAAGATAAAAGGGAATATACATGAGGATCACCAGACAAAAGAAGGAAAAGGTGGATCCGAAGGTGTATAGGGATCAGATGGTCATGCAGCAATAAAAAGAAAAGGTGGATCTGAGGGTGTATAGGGATCAGATGGTCATGCAGCAATAAAAAGAAAAGGTGGATCCGAGGGTGCACAGCAATAAAAGGAAAAGGAAAAGAGAGAAGTGAGAGAAGAGAGAGAAAGAAGACAGAAGTAATGGTTGGCTCTACTGCTCATGCAGATTAAGGGACCTATCGCCATGGAGGAGCTTGGACTTTCATCTCGGTCATGAGAAAAAAGAGATAGAGAGAGAAAAAAAGAGAAAGAGAGGCAAGAAGAAAGAGGAGAGTATGAGAGGAGGAGAGAAAAGATTACCTCAATGAACCCTAAGGGTACCGGCCAAAGATTTTTTTCTCCTCTCTTTCTCACTCCAAAAAAGAAACGTGACTCAACTCTTGCTCTTATATGGATATTTTTACAGTGATACATTTATCATACAAAAAATAGGTGCATGGATATCATGGTGTTTATTAAAAATGGTTTTGCATATTGTTGTATATCAAAGTGTTCTTATGGGGCACCTTTGCTCATGACCTTCCGGACATCATTCCCTTTAGGCGTTTAAGGTTGAGTAAATCAAAATATTATAATACTTTTATGTGGAATATGGAAATTTGATTATGTTTACAATTTTTAGTTGTTAGATGCTCTTTTTTTTCTTAATTGAGGTTTTTCATAGTTCTCATGGGTATGTGCCTTGAGGAGATTGATTTAATGTAATGCTTATGGTTAAATGGGGGTTTCATGTTCCTTAGGCCTAATTTTAATGTGGAGCAAGTAGTGATCATGAATTTTCTCCATTGGTATCTTGGCCACCTTCATTGAGATTACATTGCGCGATAGCAACTTGTTGGGTTCCTTCTTTTATGGCTTGTCCCATTTTTTTCCTAAGTATAAACATGTCTAGATCCAAGATTCTTAATTTCAGACACTCCATCATGGGGATTGAGTTCTGAAGCCACAAAAATAAGTTAAATTTAAGTATTGGCCTTGCAGTAGACCACACATAGTATAAATTGTGTTATGAAGCCACAAAAATAAAGCATTAGAAGGTCTTCCTTGTTGCGAAGATGACTAGCTTCAAGTTGGGGCTAATCTATTCTTCTAATCTTACTAGTGTTGTTATAAAACCAAAAGTTAAAGTGGTTCATTCAACCTCCTCTGTACAACCTTTTGACAGTCTCTAGGCTCGTACAATTTGGGCCAGTGCTTCCAGTATTTATTTGAGACTACATGATTAAAACCATAAATCGTTTGCACACAATATGATAGGTGCTGACTATATATTGTTCTCAAACCAATATGTTTATATCCATATTTGTTGATTTTCAAGAATACCAACCTGATATCATTTTTTATTTTTGCATATGTTTTTTTTTTTCTTTCTTCATATCGTGTTTGTTGATATGAATTTGTTGAATATCACCATGTTAGATTACATCTGGCCAATGTATGTTAATATGTTGGTGATGCAATTTCTAGAAATAGCCATTATCATAGGTCCATGTACATGATTAAGAGCGGCTTTGGTTGTGGTATTCCGTATCATGTTTTGTGTGTGGTATTGAATGAAAAACACTTTGGATTGTATTGTTGTGACCCTCAAGCCCCTGCTATTGTTTACAAAGATTATGAAAACGGGTATATCCGTTAGACATGCACTTGTTTCTTAATTACCTTCTCTATTGAAAACATGTCTTCCTTTGCTTACTGTTGGCTTTTATCGGCTACTTGGCTGTGCTAGTTGCATTAGCATAAATTCCTCAAAACTTATTACAGTTAGTTCCCTGTACTTATTGAAATTGGTGGTTGTCTCATAATTTACTAGGGACTGAATGTGTTGATCTCTTGTGAAGGACTAGGGCCAAAATGATCCAAATGGCCACATAAAAAGAAATTGTCAAAAATGTGGCGATCATTTTATAAATGGATGGACAGTGATGGGGAGATATTGGACCCATTGGAACATCAAATAACCCTAGTGAAATGCCTTGCTTTCTTGCTTACTACCATTTATTATTTTTTAAGATGAAATTTAGGACTACTAGACTAGATCTTTAGCAGAGAGTTGTGATGCTCATTTTTAGAAAATATAGATGATGAACATAGTTTAAGTAAGCTTATTGACTTACATGAAATTGATAAAGATAAGGGTAAGGAAGACCCTGTTTCTCAAACACCTTAAAGATAGGAAAGCCATCGATTGCAAATGGGTCTTAAAGAAAAAACTTAATGCAAATGGATCCATTGATAAATATAAAACTAAATTGATAGTAAAATAATTCGCCTAAAGGGAGGGTATATATTATGTAGAGACTTATTCTCCAGTAGCAAAATTTTCATCTATTAAGATTATCCTAGCATTAGTTGCATATTATGATCTAGAATTATTTCAGATGGATGTCAAAAAAAAAAAAAAGTTTATTAAATGGAGAATTAAAAGAAGATATATACATGAAACAACCAGAATGTTATGTAATTAAAGGCCAAAAAGACAAAGTATACAAACTTAAGAAATCTTTAGATAGTTTAAAATAGTCTTCTAGGCAGTAGTACATTATTTTTCATAATGCAATCACTCAAATTAGTTATGTAGCCAATAAGTTAGATCATTGTGTATATGTCTGCAATAGTGGGGCAATTTTGTTATATTGTCACTATATGTGGATGATATTTTGATAGCCGGCAATGATATTGACATGATTAAACCTACCAAATCATGGCTAAGTTCCCATTTTGAGATGAAAAATTTGGGAGGAGCCTCACATGTATTAGGCATTAAGATAACAAGAGATAGAAGTTCAAGACTTCTATGTTTATCTTAAAAAAATTTTTTAGAAAGTGTTTTAAAGAGATTTAAGATGGAAAATTGCAAGGCCATAGATATACCTGTTTGTAAAGGCTTGAAATTGTCAAAAAAAATGTGTTTATTAAATGATAGTGACAAAAATGAAATAAAAAGAATTCTATATGCTCAAGTTGTAGGATGCATAAATTATGTCATATTGTGTACAAAACCTAATTTGAGTCATGCATATGGTCTTGTAAGTAGATTTCAAAGTAATCCTAGGATGGCTCATTGGTAAGCCGTAAAAAGAATACTCAAATATATTCAGAAAACTAAAAATTACTAGTTGTGCTTCCAAACTAATAACTTAGAAGTTACTAGGTACTCTGATGTAGACTTTGCAGGAGACCTAGATAACAGAAAATCAACCTCAAGTTTTGTATTTCTCTTTGGAGGTGGTTGTGTTTCTTGGTCTAGCAAGAAAGAAGGTTGTGTAGCTCGGTATACTATAGAAGTCGAGTATGCTGCTTGTAGCATTGCTACAACTTATGTCATCTGGATTAAACACTTCATAAATTATTAGAAGTTGGATATAGCCAACGGACTTATTAAATTTTTTTGTGATAATCAGGTTGCTATCTCATCAATTACAAATTGAGCATATAGTTCCAATGGTAAGCATATTGAATTGATTATTATTATATTTATGATATTATTGAAAAGAATGAAACAACTGTAAGTTATTTGTCATCTTTAGATATGATTGCAGACCCTTTAACAAAGGGATTGAGTGCAGAAATATTATCAAAGCATGTAACTTTGATGGGTCTTAAAAATATTTAAGTTAGGAACTCTCAAATGTGATATTTCTTTTGATGTCTTGATCATGAGAGGAAAAGCCACATTAGAGTGAAAAACCCCATGATATGACTTTGGATATTGTTTTTTGTTATGAGATGTATAACCCCACTAGCGTGAAAGCCTCATGATAAGGATATGCTCATTAAGTGGTATTATATCAATATATCTAGCCTTCATGGCCAAGTGGGAGAGATTGGTACGTATGGGTGGCCATGACGCCCTCATGCGTGCTATTTTTTCTCTCTTTAATCTTTATCATATAAAAAAGAGCCTTTTTTAGATAGAGAAGAGTCATCATCTAACAGGTAAATGATAACTACCCACCTCTTAGGATTATGGGCCACGTTTCTCAGAGTTTTTAAGAGAAAGCCGAATGTTGGAGAATGACCTCTTCTATCCATCTATAACTAGGCATTTCATGACCATGGAGAGGCATACGCCTAGAAGCTTTAAGTTCTCATTGTTAAGGAAAATCCTCCACTCTGCGATCCTCAGTCTCACGACACTGCCAGTAATCCTAGGAGTTTTGGGGTTCTTCTCTTCCTTAATAATCCAACAGTGGTGTTAGTGGTGGAATATAAACTACAACATGGTGACTTGGGAGTGGGGTAGTGTGGGGTACTATCACCACAACCCCAGCCCCTTTCCCGAATAAGATCGTTTATCTCTCTCCATTGGCTCATGAAGATATCCCATAAAAATAGAGTTTCCAAAAACCAATGAAGATAAAATAAAAAATAAAAAAGTAAAAAGAAAAAAGAAAAAAGAAAAAAGAGGAGCTCATTAGGCTGAACGGGTCTAGCAGTAATCCTATCCCGGCCCTCTTGCTACAGTTCATGGCTTGGGCCCTACTTTTTTTTTGCGGGCCCTGACCCATTGCCATCCTACAAGACACTTACAAGGCACCCCTAAACGTAGTTCATTATGGTAATTTCTGGAAATGCCATCCGCTAGGTGCCATGATCCTATCATCGGTGGTTTTGGGTTTTATGGGCTCACATAGTGGCTCATATTACATGAGTAAAATGAGATCATTTACCTTATATAAATTTGTCAATCTGGGATCGTATATTATGAGAACATTTATTATTTTTAAATAGAGGTCACAATTATTACTGGCCATTAGATTAGATATTGGGAGGTGAGACAGAGTTCAATTTTTTTTTTTAATTTTAAGTTTAATCAATGAAATACTCACAACCGCTCAATTTCAAATCTGACAGACATATTAATTGTGAGTCTGTGACCTTCTTGTATTATGGTCTATTTATTTACTTTCTCTTTCGAAAACCTCTATTTTTAAAACACATTATTTTAAATGATAGATGATATGTTTCCAATTCAAAGATAGGATGCATGAGAAGATACATTGGAGCTGCGCTCTACCAATAGGGCCATCTAAGGTATGAAAGATAATATATTTGGTACACCATCGTAGGTTCGAGTATCCTTAGAACATTAAATATTGCTAATGCAAGTTAGCCATATTCACCCCGATATGAAGCTCAAGGACAATGTAATTCGTTGGAGCCCCAGTTGACCTTGTAGTTACGCACAATAACCTAAAGTAAAAACAAGGTAATATCTATCTACCTTTAAAAAGTCTATCTCATTTGGGAAGTAAGTAAAGAAATAATCCTGGCTAACTTAAAACTAAAAAGAAGATTTAAATATTAATATATTAATTTTTCGTTATAATGGGTGTTTCCTAAAAGAGTGATCCATCCGGTTCCCGTTATTTCGCAAGAATCGATTCGTCCCCAACAATTATTGATCTAGATCCGCCAGTTCTTATCCAGATGGGGCTTGCATACACCCAATGAGGAAAATGTTGGCGTTGAAAATTTAATTCTAAAGTGAACCTCTCTAAAGGAAAATGATTTGTTGGGGCTGCATCCTATCAAAATAAGTCAAGCCTCACTGCATAACACATCAAAAATTGTAATTCAAGTGTTAAAAAACCTTTAAATCAATCATCTTA